TCATTTCCATCTATGTTGTAGCAGATCAAGATTCACGTTTGTTTTAAATATTTGTTTGAATGCTCATATGCTGGATCTTTTTTTCGCTCGTATTATATTTCATGTCACATGACTCAAAGTGTGATGAATACGTGATGTTATCATTAATGTTTTCATTATATTATGTATTGTGTCATGTGAAAAAATCCAGGAATACAATTTTACTAAGAATATAAGAGAAGTTGATAAAGTTAGTTAGGAAATACGAGTCTGTTTGTGAAAGCATATTCGCACCAGAATATAATTATTGATTAAACACTCGACGGATTCAAATATAGGTACTGACAATATTTTCTCTTGTCGCATAGTTCAATCTTGGCGAAAAAGCTGATGAATAGTTCGCGTCTCACTACGTCCTTTGTTGTGTCTGTTTTCAACTTACTCAGTCAAGAGCATAAGCCGAATAAATGATGAAAGCAGGGATGAGTGACGCAATTCATATATCATTATTGATAATACACTTCGTTGGTTTGTGAGGGAACGCATGATACACTAGTCATAAGCAAAGTATGGAACATAATGTTAGTAACCCGCATTACCAAGAGTGCATATCACCAATGTATGCCATTAAAAAGAGGAATATGGATTCAGTTGCATTTACGCCGTCAGATGTCAGTCCAGGTACTGATAAAATTATTTTTCATCAATGGATGCACCGTGTTAGGATTCAATCACCCAACAATCTAAGTCAGTGTACAAACCAAAGAGTTATTGATTAGTAACGTGTTTCAGTGATTTTCTCTTTCTCATACCTTTGCCGTTAAACTAAGTCATTTGAAAATATTTCCATTTTTGTCGACGTATACCACGTTTCGTTTCAAACAGCTTGCCATACTTTGTGTGATATACCACCTAATTTAAATAACTGCTTTTATCTGGTGCAAATTTGGAAGATGATTGATAATCCGTGACGAAAAAATAATTTTTACGGGTTACAAGTTACACGAAACAAAAATAATAAAACAAAATGAATTTTAAAAACCGTGTGTCTCAAAAGGAAACGTTTATCTGATTTGTAGATGTTTATATACGTTATGTGAAATTTTTTCATCAAACATGTGGCCATAAAATATAGAATTAGATTTGTGGGCACTCGCAAAACCATTTCAAATATGCAACCGATTATACGTGAAATAGAGCACAACGAAAATTCATGTGATCATAGTCAGTGTTCATATTTCAATTGTAATAATTAACAAAACGAAGTTGTGTGTTCACAGGTATGTTATTGGATATTCACGATTTTGTAGTTCCAACAAACTTTCTCTCAGATAGATTTACTTTTGTGACGATGCAGAAAACTCGATCAACTCGAAAGACTTACCTACACTTTAATCTCAGTGATTGCCTTCGATTTAGTGTTAGCGTGAGTCTATCACACGTTTCAAACTGCAATACATGCTCACTTAAAAGAAAGTTTATCGAATATTATCGGTAAGACGTGCTTCATACAGAGGTCAATGATTTGGTTTAGTCTGAACTACACATGAACTAGAATCTGATAAAATTTGGCCTCATGACATGAAATCAATTGATGAATAATCATCGATTTCACAAGTGCAATAACATCATTGATACCACGAAGGTTCTGTCATCAAAACAATCAATCGTTTATCTTACACGATTCTGTCATTATTGGTTCATTTTGTTAATATTCCTCTCTGGGACGTCTATCATCTATTAAAATGTATTCGAGCTTTGTAGATGATATACAGAAATTGATCGACCGTATGATGGAATGCTCGCATATTGTTGTTGGGTTTTGTTGAGATCTTGATTTTTATCAAATATTGATCATAGATTTGTCTTATCACCTGTCAATTGTTTGGCAGCATTAGGGTTGTGTCATTTATTATACGAGAGCTCATTTATTCCAAGTAAAATAACGAACTTCTTGCGGGAATATATCGAACTCAGTTCGCAGAATGCAATAGCTATAATTGTTGGTCCGCATAACAAGCACCATTTTAAATTGTCTATGCCCAACGATTCATGTGTAACTGAAGTGAATATTGTCAGTCTACTTTTATGAGAAGTCCAATATTTTGTTTTTGCATTGTTCAAATACGAACAGTTTTTAGCAACAGTTTTGATGGTTTGTCGTTTCTGAGTTTAAAAATTATGTATTCAACTTTCTATTATTTAGCGATTTGATCAACGTTAGCATCATTTTGAAGGGTATTCGATCAATAATTTTATTATTCTTGAAAGCTCCTTAACTACATCAATCACAGCGTATTGCTTTCGGATAAGTGGACTGATTTAATCCTCTAATATGATAATTCTGACAGAATATGAATGTGTTCATAAAAACCTCATAATAACTTTCGATATCGTACTGGAATAACAACAGTATTTCATAAAAAAAGAGTTTTGACTGATCATTATCATAAAACTATATCTATAAGAAAACATTTACAAAATACATAGTTGAAAATGTTCAGACTAAAAATCTTTCGGTTCAGTATGCAGTTAAAATATTAACAAAAATCATCAGTAAGTTAAGAGTTGTCCTAACTTAAATGTGTGTGTGCACTTTCAAAATATATGGAACATTTTTACACAAATGAATCTGTGGCTACACACTCAACCTTTTTCAGGATTGTATCAAAGTTCCGGTTATGAGTGAATGAGAAATTCGCACTGAATGTTCAAAGCTTCAACAGTGCACATCACGCAATCGTCGAAAAGTTTCTACCCTCAACTATGCTAAATTCAATCTGCCCACAGCTAGCGATTCTGCATTCTAAGCTGTATTTATGAAAGCAACCTGCACATCACATAAGACGTGTTCTTGCAAAATAATAAAAACGTGTGACCCATAACTAATAAATCTTATAGAATACAAATTGTGCATTGAAACGTATTCACAGGTGCTCATTTTCATCGACTTAGTTGTGTTCTGTTTTGCATCTAAATTATTCAAAAATGTTATTTGACTATCTGGCTACATGTCAAGCTAATGAATCAATCGATTATTTATTATTAAGAAACGTGCTGATAAGAGATTTTACATCAATTTTCATCCATTGCAATGCATCAAAGAATAATGAGTACGCAGATAATATAATATCAATTTCATGGAAAGTTGTTATTGAAGCTAAAGAAATATTCAAAAATAAATCTAAGCATATTGAAAAAGGACCACAAATACTATTTTTGATAATTTGTCATTTAAACATGTATGTGTTTAGTTTTCTACGTATTCATGACGATGTTTTATGACGTTTTTGTATTTTGGTATTATCCTTACAAGCTGAAAGTAAGAAAAAAATATTCTGATGTTTTTTGATTGGCAAACAAAAACCAACAACAGAACTCAGTTATATTGAGTCTTGAAATCGCAGATCTCTTTCAGCTTGCGTGTTATTATGATAGTGCAAATCTGTTTTTATTATATTATTAATCATCGGATCCATGCTTATCAAACAAAAAATTGGAGATTTAAATAATAAAAATTTTTATATGTAAAAGAAAATATACGCTGAAGCTCAGTGGAAAAGCAAAAAATAATAGATCTAATAAACACATTTAAGAAACATACAATGTGCCGTTCATTCTCTATTTGTGTGCCTTGACTTTGTATGTACATGAAATATGCCAACAACCAGTTTCACCGTTATATTATTATTTTGTATGAGAGGAATTATATATTGAGGAAAAAAAATGTGATCTGTCTTTCTTAAAGTTGTTTTTTCTTATACATCAATCAACTAGTCCTAAATTTTCATTTTAATTATTGATACAAAGATCTCTCATTAGAATAATATTATTACTGCTACATGTTCATATATTCGTTCACATCTAAGAATTTCAGCTGAAAATCTGCAATCACTTAAAAAAAATGACACTGTCAGGTATCTGATCAACAATCAGTACGTCGTAGTTCATGAACCACGCGAGCCTATTTTAAACAAATATATATGTTCACTGCTTACCAATGCATAGAAAAGCTAGAATTTCATAGCACATATTTACAAGCAGGATCAGGCAGTTGAATAATTTGTACACAAACCTAATAAACGCTGTCCCAAATTACCCTTGAGAAAACATCATTTACTTAGGAAGTGGTAAGTAATTTATCTATATATACTAATAATCATTGCTTTGATACCTGATTTTAAAATCATATTGTTCGTCATATGAATAATCAAAGTATAATTTAGAAGGAATTGTGAGTTCCCCCAAAATCTACTAATGCTGTGCAATCAATAAAGTAGTTTATCTAATTCTATAAAGTGTATTTTTCGACATTATTATTTAATCAAACAAATCAGTCTTTCGATTTATTTCATCTACTGGTCCTGTTGTAATTGTCTGAAATTACTGGTCTCAATTATGCTCGCTAATACAATTCAGTGCTATAATTTAATACACTCATTCAACGTTTAGGCAAGAATGGCATACGCTGTGACACTGTACGAATAATGAGTATTTCTACATTTCGTGAATTCGCATTGACCAATAAGAACCTATGGAAAAGACTGTGATCAACCATTTCACACTGGATCAGCATGACACAATGTCACCATAGTTGAAAAAATTTATATGTATGTGAGATTATTGAATCTTGTTCTACTAGAGCAGCAATTATATATCCTACAATAAGTGTTATGATGTCGTGTAAAAATTTGAAAAACTGACACACATTCCATGAAGAGAAGCATAGGGCGCTTCTCTTCGTTTCACTGTATTTCAACATTCACTAGTCCGTAGTGCTTTCAAACATAAACAGTCCGTTAACCATAATTATGTTTTATTGAATACATTTGAGAAGTATGAACTGAACGTTAAATTGAAAAGTATGTTCACTCTACTGGACAGGACGTAATTTTGGAATCATCGTAATTAAAAATGGTTGAGGTCAAATTTCACCCAATATTATTTTATTCTCAATTGTTCTTCGTTTACAAGATAACAAAAAAAACAAGGAATTTAACATCTTTCATTGATATATTGTTGCCATTTTTCATAACACGTTATATTGCATAATACATGCATGGTGATGCAAAGTTCACCGGTAACATCAATATGTATTTTGATCAGGTGAGTTTCTCTTTCTTCGTTTCTTTGTTGTTTTAATTTGTGTGGTTCGATTCGGATATGGAGGAAAATAGAATTTCTCTGGACAATCGCCTTCTGTGCTGCAATTTATAAATGCAAATGTTCTATTCAAACAGAATCGTATATCCTCCAAATCAAAATCTGTTCTATCCTGATTAAATGCATGAAAAATATGATGACATAAACCATTGAGCATACAAACAAACAATTGCATTTAAAAAATCTCTCACATGTGTTGAAGGTCGAAAAAAAATTACTGATTCCATACATTTTGCAAAAAAAGATCGATCATTCATTTCATTTTTATAAACCCCATTTGATAATACATAGATCCAAATGAAACCCGAGTGAATAATTATATCTTATTTTATAAACAAACTTACATTCTCGCACTTCATTTTGCATATGAGCCGACCAGGAATCCCGTACAGTTTTTTCAGTACGTCTCGAAAATACGTTTTCTGAATAAATGAAACAAAAGAAGAATTTAAAATAAATTAGTCCTTTTTATAAATTTTCATAGAACAGTGAGAAGTCGTCACTGATCTGAAAAATGTGATGTATTTACGCTCTACATTTCAAACAATCTGGTCACACATATTTACTTGTCAAGGAATTTTATATGAAGATGAATAAAGGGTCAATTAATTAAAGGTTCAAATAGACATAGGGTGATAATTGTAAATAAAGGAGAGAGAAAATTAACGTAATATGAAAAGAATAAGAAGAGGTAGGAAAATCGTCACATTACCCTAAGCTTAAAGATTACCAAGGTAATTTCAAGGTTATGACAAATTGTTTCTGCACACATAAAGGGGGTTTTAATTTTCTAATAGCCAAGGCCTCCATAAACCTCAAAATTCGTCCTTCAACATTTCTATACAATTTTTTGAAGGCTGTCTTGATGTCAATCTTATGCCTTGTCTCAATTATGTGTTTGGCGATCAACGTCATTTGATAAGAATAAAAGAAAGTAAAAACTTACCCTGGTAATCTTTAAGCCTAAGATAATGTGTCAATTTTCTTACCGCTTCTTATTCCTTTCATATTGCGTTGATTTTTTCTCTCTATCATTTACAATTATCACACTATGTCTATTTAAACTTTCGTTTAATTGACATTTTATTCATTTTCATATAAATTGCCTTACCAAGTAAATATGTGTGATCAGATTGTTTGAAATGTACAGCGCAAATACATCACATTATTCAAATTAATTACAGCTTTTCACTGTTCTGTCTAAAGTAGAATCATCCGTCACATAAAGTATTTTTGCGGAATCTGTTTTTTACTTAGATATTTTTACACAATCATATACGATTTTCACAGTGAAAATGAGACAATCAACAAAAAGAACAGCCATTCTATGTTTGATAGTGCGACGTTTATCAAAGACGAAGTTAAAAAGGCTCTACTTTTATCGAGAGTGAACATTTATTGGCTAAATCAAGTGGTCAGGTGATTTTCCTATTGAATTTATTTTTCCCCATAACCTGCCAAAGTATTATAGAGTTTGTCGACACTGGACATTTGGAAATCTAAATACTGACAGTATAAAAGTAAACTTTGTTAACTAGGTGATAAAAACACTTACATTATATAGTTTTACGTTGCTTGGCGTAATGTTATACATCTGAAGTTTGCTGCAATTATGACAGTAAAAAACAATACAAAAATGGTCAGTTATATTATCAAAATAAGTGACTAGTAAAAATGAAGCCGAACTTACTGTGAAATCTGCTTTTACGTAGCAAAATATATACGAAAATCTGTGTGACAAGCATTCATTCTTAATTTTTACTAAATAACTGTTATAATGTATAAAGATTTTAATTAACCAGATATTAAGTTATTGCTAGATTTTTCTTTTTATTGTCTAACAAAAATGAGAATAATTTGGAAATCAGTCAAACATTTGCTAGGATATTTTTTTCAATATCAAAAACATGTAAAGTATCATGTACACAACGCGTTTTTAAAATTTTTATAGTCTTCTTTGGTTCATTTGAACGGCACATTTATCGTAGATAATACGTCGTTTAGAAGATTTGAAGAATATACTACATTGGTCTGATTTCATTATCTGCAATACCTCAGCTGAAACACCCAAACTGCTCAAGTGTTTCAGAACAACATAAGTCCTCGTTCCACAATTACGATCAAAAATCACATTAATTACAAAGTTTTTATATGAAGCCACTTAACAACCAGTAATTTGTAAAGCTGGTCATCGATTCTTTATAAGTTATATAAATAGAAACTAAATTACATACTTTAAAAGATCTATATGATTATAAACACTAAGCGCAGCATTGAAGTAACCAAGGACGCCAATAATTGCAGGATCTTCCAGGGCACACCGACCATGTTTTCTATATTCATAACGCCTTTTAAAAGAAATAAGAGTTGAATATCGTGATCAATCTTATGTCATTTACGTAAAAGAAAATAAACTAAACGACACATATTTACGTTTAGTTAAGAAACGTTCAATGAAAATTAAAACTTTCTCATTGTTTATTCGCTCAACAAAACATATGCTATTGTCATTCTGATTAGTGTCTACAAATACCATCGACTGTCGCATACCTGTCCCATAACTCTGAAAAATGTAATCATTCATTTTCTCATGAGATCGCTAAACAAATATATCCGGAAGGATCTGTTTGTGAGCTTCATATCAAAATCACTTAATCGTCACTTACTGCATAGCTGATTTGGTTTTCTCGAACGTTGACTAATTCTGTAAACGATATTTATCAAAATAATTGTTGTCTCGCTATTCTGAATCAATATAAAAACAGGAAATAACCATGAAATACGGATTCGATTCTTACCAAAAAATATCTCTTTTGGTATTATTTTTTAAACGTGGCCACTTGTAATCCAACTCCGGTCTTATTGGCTGAAATAAAACAGAAATTCTTGTTATTTGAGAAAATCATATAGAAATGTTAGTCGCAATAGACCGGTTATATTCATTTTAACTGTCTGAAAATGTTGTTCACAAAAACGCTGGCTTATCATAGACATTCCCGATTCATAGTATTCATCTGCTTCATTACAGCAAATTGTGGATTTACCTAGGTTTTCTACAAAACGTACAGCATTGGCAATAGAAGATCATATGATTCGCACCAACGCTCACGTTTTCCTTCCACATGTTTCTAACTTAAAACTCGCATTTTTATTCCCACTTTTATGTAGACCATCGAAAGTTTCCATTGCACAACCATGAATTTGACTCCCAAATAATGATAATAAGTGACTTTTTATTATTGAGAAGTGTTCTTTGTATTTGCAATAAATACAAAAGTCAAAGAATCGTACAGTGATTACCTATATTGTAGCAATCTATTTCAGTACTCAACTTGTCATGTTTACGGATCATAGTTCATAGAATTAGATTCACAGATAAGTTATTTCTTGTCTTTCTGTCTTTTCAGCTATTTGCACGCCTAATTATCACGCTTAACTCTAATAACTATTTGTTAAACATACTATTTAACCCGTCGTAATTCAGAACTCCATGACTCATTCCTCAGGGATAAATAAAATACTCATTGTCGTTTTACTGTCGTGGCTCATCTTGGAACTACTACAAATTAACACACATTTAGAACAACACAGAAGCAAACAATATTCTTCGATAACTAATCCAACAGAACAGCAAACTGATCGTTACATACGAAATAAACTTATCACGAAGCATTAAATTCCGCTTGTTAGTATTTTCTAAGATAAATTGCAATTACTGACATTTCATTCATCAGGCAATATTTTATTTACTATTCATGAATTTTTTATTGACAGGAACTCTAATGAGCAATGGTTATATAAAGGGAAAATAGTAAATCGAGGAGTAACGTAAGTACTGGATTCAACTCACATCCAAATTAGATAGATTCCACTTTACTGACACATTACACTTTGGAGTTATATTTGGCCAAATTGTAGGCCTATGAAAAAAATAGCAGATTTCAGTAAAAAGATTTGTCTTATTTGCAATAACGTTTAGGTAGAAAATTCAAACTTTTATTTTTAAAAAGTTCGAGGGTAATTTAACATGTTATGCATTTGAATGAAAAAATATCTTGTAACTTTCGAGTGTTTGTATAATTCCCGGAGGTTGTGATATCTATTCAATGCTCCGTATCATCTCCTAAGGATCGTAATATAATTTCTCCTGAGTTTCATTCTCATGACAAAGATATGGATTTCGCTTACAATAATCTGTAAACTGAGATCTGAAACATAAACAGTTCACGAGAACCGTCCAAGAATATGTCACAGTCTACTTTGGAGTTGAATTTACAACCGAGCATGCAGAAAGATGATTTCAGTATGTTCAACCCTGTTCAAATCAGTGACGTAAAGTGAAGATGTGACATAATGTACATTGTCTTCCTAATGACAATCAATCCACTTACGTTTCACTTTTTATCAATTTTTCAAATTCATGTTCAGTAACTATACCTTCATTTGGTTTTACTACTGATTTGTTTTAAAAAATTAAAGTCATGAGTAATTGTTTTGATTCAGGCGGTAATTCTCATAAAATAACAGGTACATAATCATGTTGAAATGAATTTGAAATACTGCGACTTTAAAAGAACATAAATAATGGTGATTGTTTTGGTTAATAAAATCATTCGCTGAATCTTCTAAGAACCCGACAGATCCATCCGCAACTAAAACTGACGATTCATGTTTAGGATCACGTTTGCTTATTATTATATAAATTTCATTAAAAGATTATCGCACTACATTATACATATCATATTTTATCTTTAAAATACATCTTACCACACTCCGTGAATCGTGAAAGAATTCACTTCAGGCGGTAACTTGCACTAAATATAAGAACAAAACAATAACGTCAAGCAATGATTTTCAATCCCAGTAAATTCTGTTTATCTTAAGATATGAATCATGTACCTTAATAATGAAGTAGAAATCAATATTCATTTCTACGACATTTGAAATCGTTTACTTAAGTGGCTACAATATAACATGCTAATAATCGCGATGAAAATTTGCTTGATCACGATGTTCGGTATGAGTAAACTAGAAGCACATCGCAATCAGTGACAACGGCAGTATACTATATCGTATATCCCACATGTCTGAATTTGCATAAGTAGATTTTTCCGTAGGTGAAATCAACTTACCATATTTGTCTCGTTATACATTTACGATTTCGTCAATTTGAAACTCAAATGCTTCTTGGAAATAGAATGTGAGTATTGCGTTCAACTAGTTAGTACTGGTGTCGTGATGACGATCAGATAAAGTCTATGATCAGATGTTCATCAGTCATTGAAAGCTGAAGACTAGTCGTCAATAAAATGGATCACTTTATTTCTATTCAATTATCAAACATGCTTAAATTGAAACAATCAATGCATTAGTTAAACTTTGTTTGATTATCATGAAAACATTATTACCAAATATGGATCGCAGTATGTTGGTGGCCACGATAGGCTAAACTGGTAGAAATCCCATCTGATGTATACAGATCCAACTATCACAATTGTGGTAAATGCAAGAAACATCAAACACATCAGTCTGAAAATGAAAAATAAAGAAACAGAATGGCAACTGATCGAAATACATTGTTACGTTTACATCTGAAATGACTACTCGATGATACGAAAGACACTGACTTACAATGAACGCATTTCCAAACGAAAAATGTTATTATCAATGAAGCAGATTATTTGGATTCAAAAGGTCAGAAGTTACAATCACTGCAATATATATATATATATATATATATATATATATATATATATATATACAGGAATAAATCAAAAATATAACTAATCACGTAAGTGTATAAGGTCAATGAATACAATCGCGTGTAGTACAATCACCCGGTCGATCGATATTTATTATGACTGCGTAATTACATTTTTACAATTTAATTGTCAGTACACGATAAGGCTATCGCTGTTTAAAAAATCGCAATTTTTCTCATAGTCGGACCTAATATTTTATACGATAATGTGTGGCGGAATAACTAACTTTACAATATTCAATAAGCAAAGAAACCTAATGTACACAATCAAGGACAGCTTGACGAAATGATATATTTCTAATGTATTCGAAAAATGGCAACAACGTTTTAGCTAAAAACTGTAATCTACAAAAATTTGAAGGGTAGTTTTGTCGGTTCTTTCTTCATGGTATTCGCGATCATGTTCAGAAGTTTATTGAGTTTCTTTTTATTTGAAATAAAAGCTCACAAAATTATATGTAGTCAGTGTGAGCAATGTGAGTGGCGTGCATTTTCGATCACATTGTGTATCACTTGCTAACGGTTTATTTTGTGGACAGATATTTTAATGTTTTTCACAGCAACCATTTGAATTCAATCAGGCACTGATATAGTAACGGTTCATTTAGAAAGATAACGTTATATAACTACAATCTATGGATGTAATATATGTTATCAGAAGATGTATTTTTCTTTAGGTAACGAAGTTTGAATATTCGAATAGTTCAATTTTATCCTGTCAAACATTGGAATAGTAATCATTTACGATTTCGAGATACTTTCTTGTGGTGAAATGTTACTAGAGCTGTGTTATTTATCTAATTTAATATCACTACGAATGACTGTTTACATCTGCACTCGAAAGTCAAGCTTGGAAAGAGATAATATGCCTATTAAATTTTTTCTTCGTTTATCATGTTCCAGGACAAGTGCCGTTTTCTTTTTGATAGTAATAATATTTTGAATCCAATAGCCTAATAGTAGACAGTTATCATGCCAAACGAAATGATATCAGTTAGACCACTATTGTAAATTTGAATGATTTAAACGGTCTTACTGTTCCTAATAAGACACTTGTTGGTTTTACGTTCATACACAAATCCATGCTGAGAAATCAAAAGAAACATCTATGATCTTACATATAAGAACACACAATCGGCACTCTGTAGTGTTCATGTTTGAACGTCCATCAATACATCATGTTGCACAAGCCTTCAATCAGTGATTCTGATCAGTTTCCGTTTACATTTGTTGAGCCGTTTGATGTGTTCGTTTTGTTTTCTTTTGAGGAAACATGGATGAAGCAGACATATGGTATGTGCACTAAGTGATGAACCATACATATTAAACGAATGCATAACGAATGCATTCATTCTGTCTGTTCTCTGAAATTCGAATATTCGAAATTACTCAATAATACTATCAATCTCATTCTAATGTTTCTTACGGAATTACACTTCTCCATTAATACTTATGACCCTTGGTCTTCCACGTAACTTCCAATTTTTCCACTGTCTATACCGATAGGCTGTTTGAACTGAGAGCTGTGCTTGTTTACTATTGCGGTATGGCATTTGATCTAATGTACATACGTACGAAGGTCTCTGTTGTAACCACATCTGTTGTTGTCAGTTGTGCATGTCCATTGGACTTCTAGCTATTAGATTGGTCACACGGCTTTTGGACTGTTTTAATTTCCAGTTTGAGCCTTCCGACACGTTTCCAGATAAAAATTACCTGATTTTCTGGTTTTACAAATACGAAGTTACTATTTTGCATGTTTTAGTTAATTGTAAATGAAGTTGCCAACTACATTCTGTTGAGTAAGAAACGAACGAGAATTTCAATGTGTGAAATATTCTTATCGATCGTTTCATATGGAATTAAATAAAATCTTTACAAAGCAGGTTATCTTTTTTCAGTTACCTAGTTCATCAAATAAACGTAAGCAATCTAAATTATCTCACATGTCTTTCCTAATTTTCATGTATGAACACAGTTGTTGCTTTCGAAATTATTTGCTTACGACATCTTGAGTCAGTTTAAATCACACAGAATAATTTTGTTACCTTAAACGTTAGTTGTATATTGACCACAATGCGTCACTCAGTTTTTATTATAAAAGAATGTATATATATATATACATATATATATATATATATGTATATTTACATACCTAAATTACTTACCTACATAAACATAGGTTGCCTTATTTAAGAACATTTCCTTTTTTGTCTTTCTTTTTGTCTATTTGTGTTTCTTCATCTACAGCAATCTTCAGTCTGTCTCTTCTTCCTTCTAACTACAAGGTTTCTCTCTGTCGCATTCCGGTGATTTCTTCAATATACGTCCTCTTTTCTGGAAGCATTTCTTATTTGTTCCTCAGTTGGACGTTCATCGCTACTCTATCATAGTTGATGATTTCTGATAGTTGCCGATCAACTAATCATCAGTATCCTGCGTAAAACTGTGTACCATTTGAAGGATGACTTTTGTGTTCCTCAAACTTTGCACTGCATACATCAATAGTATCCTGGCTTTCGTATTACTTATTTCGAAATGCTTGTCTGTATTGAGTTCATGCTGCTTAAGCTTTTCTAATTAAGCAATAATACTAACGACCGAATATTGATGATCGATTTCGATGCGAATGTCGGTTTCTAAATAGCGAATGACTGTCAGCTAGCAGTTGACTTCATTCTTTACTTACCTATTCTATGCTAGAAAATTATGAATATATTCACAATGTAAGTTACGAACAGAATTAGCTGGATAATCATTTGAAACTTAGAAACAGTAATGCTAGACAACCAAACATCCATGTGACTTGCTGAAAGTAACTGTCTCACAGCTGATTCGACTTGAAATCTCATCGGATCATGACTTTCTGCTTACACCTGTGGAATGATATTTGAGAGCCTGTAAATAGCAGCATATAACAAAGCTGGTAATCGAAGGTTGAAAGAGTTCACAATATATTGAAGAAGTGAATCGTTTAGTATTCATGTCCAAATAAAATTTGTTTTGCCTCACAGGATTTCTGTGTTCTGTTTTGGAGAAATCATTATCGTGTGAAACTAATAAATCTATGGTTTTATTCCTTTCCAGTTAAAATGTTCCATAGCGAGATAGATAGCTTGAGCGATTGAAATATTTGTTCAGTGTCGCTGGTTTAATGGATTATTATATACAACATGTAAGTGTGTTTGACATAATGCTGAGATGTCACTTTCACTCTGAATTATTGGTGTATTCCTTGCAATTCTGTGACATATATGTGTAACACAATTTCTAACAGGCTTATTTAAATCTACTAATTGTTTGAATCATAGATCTTTGATGATATAATCAAGTAGTGCACCATGTTCACAAGATATATTATTTCGAGTTTTTAATTAAGAGCAAACGTTTTCTCTTCTTAAATGTGTTGCCAACACGACTGACACGTCTAACTTTTTATGTTGTTTTTGTGTTCATTTGAATCTCTCCTTCAATGCTAAAATTTTCAAATGGAATAAAATTGACAACCTAAAGATTTTCTTAAATATGTATTGTTTACTTCTCTGATTATTTATTCAGTTAACTTTGTATAACGGCTTTTTCTGACGCTTCTGGAAGCTGATATAAAATAACAGCATCAAGGACGGATGCTGAAGCGTCTACTGCTACGATGATTGGCATGGATGAGTCGTAGTGAGTTAATAACATTTTCAAGCTAATTATTGACTTGAAATTACTAAAAGCTGCGTCACACTCTTTATTCCAGTTACATGTGCTTCTGCAGCAGAAAATTCAATGGAACGCGAATATCATACATCGAGGGAACAACTGCTGAATTATAACTAAATAATCTGAAAAAAGATCGTAATTCCGAAACATTTGTCGGAGAAGGCATCACTTTGATAGCTCAGGTGTTCTGAGGATCCGGTTCGCGACCGTCGGCATCGAGGACGAACCTCAAATACTTTACAATAAAAACTGGCATTTCGCTGAGCTCGTCACTTGGTACGCTTGAAGCTATAACGATTTCACCCTAGTCGATAAACGCGAACCAGACAATTAACTACGTCCAACTAGGTTACCTTGTATCACAAGCAGAAGAGAAAAATGCTTAATAAGCGTAGAATACATTCAAGAACAAAACACTAGTTTATTTATACATCATAGAAACGTCCTTGGGACAGTTACGAAAAAAGTACACTGAAATACACTGCAGAAAATCACAGCCATAGATTTTCCTTATGAGAAATTAAATCTTCAAGTCAAATGATCAGCTCATGCTCGCAAACGTGAAACCTATAATAAGGTATTTATCAAAAGAGCTCTGCGTATCTAATATATCCAACACCTACATCAGTTGACAGTTCATACCGATGCGATCAGATATACAAGACAAAAGATCAGACAAAAAATAGTGCATAACGAAAACTCTCATTATCATTTCTTACTTACTTACTTACTCACGCCTGTTACTCCCAATGAAGCATAGGCCGCCCACCAGTTTTCTCCAACCAACTCTGTCCTGGGCTTTCCTCTCCAATTCTGTCCAATGTTTGTTCATTCCCCTCATATCTTTCTCTAATTCTCGACGTAATATATTGCTTGACCTTCCACTTTTCCTATTGTCTTGTGGGTTACAAGTTAGGGCGTGTCTCGTGACGCAGTTAGGTGCTTTCCGCAATATCTGTCCTATCCACTTCCACCGCTTCTTCTTGATTTGCTCCTCCACTGGAATCCGGTTTGTTCTTTCCAACAGTTCGTTGTTGCTGATGGTGTCTGGCCAACGAATAATTCTCATTTTCAGATTCCAGTTTGAACAATTTACAACATACAGTTGGCTGTTCACAGGCATTTTAGGGCCGACTAAAAATTTTTCAGTTGTAACAAACATTCTCTCAGATAGATTTACTTTTGTGAAGATGCCGAAAACTCGGTGATAAAATGACTAACCTACCCTTTCTTCATA